ATGTAATTGTTTTATTTTTTATTTTTATTAATTAATTATTTATTTATTTACAATTTTTTTATTTTAAGTTATTAATTATTTTAATATTTTCTTTATTTATTTATTTACCTTTTTATTTTATTATTGTATGTTATTATTTATTTATTTTATTTATTTATTTACAAATTTATTTAATTTTATTATTTTATTTTTATCTAATTATTTCTTTACATTTTTATTTTATTTATTTTTTATTTTCTTTCTTTCTTTGTTTTTAATATTTTATTATTTTTTATTTATTTTTTTATTTGGTTATTCAGTTTTAGACTGTTTTAAACAGGGCTCATTCAGACCATTAATGTGTGTGTGTTTGTGTGTGTGTTTGTGTTTCAGATGGGAGGATTCGATAGTCCTCCTCGAGTCTTCAACAGCCCGTATTCAACACTTTCACTGGATTATAATCCCATCAACAGAATGTCTGACTTTAAGGTTTGTGTGTGTGTTAGTGTGGTGTGTGGTGTGTCTTTGTTTGTGTGTGCATGAGTCTGTGCTTGCATGTGTGTGTGGCACATACGTGTGTGCATGCGTGTTTTCATGTTTTGTGTGTGTGCATGCATGCTTGGGTGTGTGTGTGTGTGTGTGTGTGTGTGTGTGTGTGTGTGTGTGTGTGTGTGTGTGTGTGTGTGTGTGTGTATGTGTGTGTGTGTGTGTGTGTGTGTGGGCGTGTGCATGTGTGCTTATGTGTGTATGTGTGCGTGTATGTCTGCATGTTTGTATGTGTTTGTTCGTATTCATGTGCGTATGTTTGTATGCATGCATGCATGTGTGTGTGTGTGAGTGTGTGTGTGTGTGTGCGTGTGTGTGTGTGTGCATATGTGCGTGCACGCGTGTTTATATGTGTGTGTGTGTGTGTGTGTGTGTGTGTATCTGCATGTTTGTAGGTGTGTCTGTTTGTGTGTCCTTCTGCTGGACATAACAGGATCATGCACTTCAGCATCTGTATTTCCGACGTCATCATGTGTTCTGTGTTTGTTTCAGTCACCAGAAGTGATGTCACCGGGCGTCTCAGACATTAACCTGTTTGGCCTGAACAGAAGTGTGAGTCCAGTCAGCAGTCCAGCGGTCGCTCAGAGATCACGAATCCCCGGATACGACAGTCTGACCCGCAGACGAGACGTGAGAACACACACACACACACACACACACACAAAATAATTCACGCTCCTGGGACATTTATAGGGAACAGATTCAGGATTTTTTCACAGTATTTCCTATGATATTTTTTCTTCTGGAGAAAGTCTTATTTGTTTTATTTCGGCTACAATAAAAGCCGTTCATAATTGTTTTAAACACATTTTAAGATTAATATTGTTGTACTCTTTATGCATTATTAGTTTTCTATAGTCTTCAGAACAAACCACTGTTATACAATGACTTGCCTAATTACCCTAACTTTACCCTAATTACCCTAGTGAAGCCTTTAAATGTCACTTTAAGCTGAATACTAGTGTCTTGAAGAATATCTAGTCTAATATTATGTGCTGTCATCATGGCAAAGATAAAATAAATCAGTTATTAGAGATGAGTTATTGAAACTATTATGATTCGACTATTTTTAGTTGTTATTTATTTGTCTGCACTATGGGAGGGAGTGACGGGAATGGCATGTTCTTCCTTGTAATATTGTACTGTATTTATTTTGCAAAAAAATTAAAATAAAAGCAATTGTTCACAAAACGAAAAAACGATCGTAACAAATGACTTTAAAGCAACTTTCTCCGAAACTGAGCACCACATTCAAAGTGTTATTATGTGCGTTTTCTGTAGGCGACTCCAGGTCAGCTGATGCAGAGGAGCAACCAGCCCAATAAACGAGACTTTATCCAGGAGCTGACCTTACAGCTGGACGAGTGCCGCAGGGTCAGTATGAAACTATACACACACACACACACACACACACACACACACACACACACACACACACACACACACACGTGCGCCTTTTATATGCATTGCACAATTTATTTATTTTTTAGAAAAGCATGGGCATTATCAGGGCATTTCAATTGTATATGAAGACAGGGATGTTTAGTTTAATTTAGTTAGTTAGTTAGTTAGTTAGTCAGTCAGTCTGTCTGTCTGTCTGTCTGTCGGTCGGTCGGTCGGTCGGTCAGTTAGTTAGTCAGTCGTTCAGTCAGTCAGTTGGTTGGTTGGTCTGTCGGTCAGTTAGTTAGTTAGTTAGTCTGTCGGTCGGTCAGTTAGTTAGTCAGTCGGTCAGTTGGTTGGTTGGTCTGTCGGTCAGTTAGTTAGTTAGTTAGTTAGTCTGTCGGTCGGTCGGTCAGTTAGTTAGTCGGTTGGTTGGTCTGTTGGTCAGTTAGTTATTTAGTTAGTCTGTCGGTCGGTCAGTTAGTTAGTCAGTCGGTCAGTTGGTTGGTTGGTCTGTCGGTCAGTTAGTTAGTTAGTTAGTTAGATAGTTAGTCTTTTAGTTAGTTAGTTAGTTAGTCAGTCAGTCAGTTAGTTAGTCTGTTAGTGAGTTAGTGAGTTAATTTGTTAGTTTGTTAATTTGTTTTGTCAGTTTAGTTAGTCAGGGAGTTAGTCTGTTAGCTAGTTAGTCAGTTAATTTGTTAGTTACTTTGTTAGTATAGTTAGTTAGCTGGTCAGTTAGTTAGTCAGTGAATTTGTTAGTTAGTTATTTTAGTTAGTCAGTTTGTTAGTTTAGTTAGTCAGTTTGTTAGTTTAGTTAGCCAGTTAGTTAGTTTGTTAGTCTGTTAGTTAGCTAGTCACTTAATTGGCTAGTTAGTTTGTTAGTTTGTTTGTCAGTTTAGTTAGTCAGGGAGTTAGTCTTAATTATTTACTCAGTTTGTTAGTTTAGTCAGTTAGTTAGTCCGTTAGTCAGTTAATTTGTTAGTTAGTTTGTAAGGTTAGTTAGTTAGTTAGTTAGTTAGTTAGCTAGTTAGCTAGTTAGTCAGTTTATTTGTCAGTTACTTTGTTAGTTTGATTGTCAGTTTAGTTAGTCAGTTAGTCAGGGAGTTAGTCTGTTATTTAGTCAGTTAATTTGTTAGTTAATTTGTTTAGTTAGTTTTTTGTTTATTTAGTCAGTTAGTTAGTCTTTTAGTAAGTTAGTTAGTCAGTTAGGTCGTCTTTTAGTAAGTTAGTTAGTTTAATTTATTAGTTTAGTTTATTTATTTAGTTTGTTAAGAGTGTTTAGTTAGTCAGTCGGTTAGTTAGTTGGTTTGTCAGTTAGTTAGTTAGTCAGTCAGTCAATTTTTTAGTTAATTTGTTAGCTTGTTAGTTTAGTTAGTTAATTAGTTAGTTTAGTTACTTTTAGTTAGTTGTTTACTTAGTTTAATTTGTTAGTTTAGTTAGTTTGTTAGTCAATTAATTTGTTAGTTAGTGTTATTTATTTAGTTGTTTAATTAGTTTAGTTAGTTCAGTTAGTTTTGTTTAAGTTAGTTTAGTTTAGTTAGTTTAGTTTAGTTTGTTTTGTTAGTTTAGTTAGTTTGTTTAGTTTAGTTAGTTTTGTTAGTTTGTTAGATAGTGTAACACTTTTTAGAGAGAGTTTTATCATTATCTAAAAATAAAACAGAAGTCAGTCATGCTGATTTATATGTTCTTCCTCCATTCAGCATGTGCTTTAATGGCTTTTCTTCTTCTGTGAGTGAGAGTGAAAGTGGGTGTTTTCCTCCATAACTGTGTAGTGTATGTGTGTGCAGAGGAACCAGTTTCTGGAAGCAGAGAGCGTAGAGATGGAGAAAGAGAGGAATCAGATTCGTTTCGAGATGCGGGGCCTGCTGGTCAACAATGAGGATCTGCTGCGCACAAACACACAAATGCAGGGCGAGATGAACCGTCTGCGGGAGAAAATCGTGGAGCTGGAGAGCAACAATAATGTCCTGGTGGAGCGATTCAGAAAGATGGAGGTATGGAAGCACAACAGACACCTCTTTATAATCATTTGAGCAGATCATCAACGTGTGTACATGAAAACATGACCTGGGGCCTGTTCCACAAAGCTGGATTAGCTGGTTAGCCAGTTAAGTTTCACTTTAGATTACACCAATACTGGGTTTAAAGTGGCACGACTTTAATTAATCTCAGTCCCCATGGTAATTACCCTGTAATGGTGCAGGTTATGTTCAGTTTATGTTCAAGTTAAGTTCTGCTTATATTCAAGTTATATTGTGGTTATTTTCAGGTTTTGTTCTGGTTATATTTTGGCTATGTTCAGTTTATGTTCAGATTATATTTAGGTAATGTTCTGGTTATGTTCACGTTAATTTTAGTTTGTTTAGGTTATGCTCAGGGTATATTTGTATTTGTATTGTTGTGATTATATTCAGGTTACGTTCTGGTTATATTTTGATTATTTTCAGGTTAATTTTAGTTTATGTTAAGTTTAAGTTCAGGTTATGTTCAGGCTATATTCAGATAATGCTGTAGTCATATTTAAATTATGTTCTGGTTATATTTTGGTTTTGTTCACGTTAATTTTGGTTTATGTTTAGGTTTAGTTCAGATTATATTCAGGCTATATTCAGGTAATGTTCTGCTTATATCCAAGTTATATTCTGGTTATACTTTTGTTATGTTTAGGTTAATATTGGTTTATTTTGAGGTTAAATTCAGGTTTTGTTCAGGCTATATTCAGGTAATGAACTGCTTATATTCAGGTTATGTTCTGGTTATACTTTTTGTTTTGTTCAGGTTGATTTTAGTTTTTGTTTAGATTAAGTCCAGGTTATGTTCAGGCTATATTCAGGTAATGCTGTAGTTAAATTCAAGATATGGTCTGGTTGTGTTTGGTTCTGTTCATGTTAATTTTAGTTGATGTTTAGGTTATGTTCAGGTTATGTTTTGGTTATATTCAGGTTGCGTTCTGCTTATATTCAGGTTATGTTCTGGTTATACATTTGTTATGTTCAGGTTAATTTTGTTTTATATTGAGGTTAAGTTCAGGTTTTCTTCAGGCTATATTCAGGTAATGTTCTGTTTATATTCAGGTTATGTTCTGGTTATATTCAGGCTATGTTTCCATTATGTGCAGGTTAATTTTAGTTTATATTTAGGTTATTTTCAGGTTATATTTAAGTAATGTTTTGGTTATATTCAGGTTATCTTTTGGTTATGTTTTATTTCATTTTAATTTTTTGTTCAGGTTATATTTAGGGAATGTTCTGGTTACGTTCTGGTTATTTTCAGGCTATATTTGGGTTATGCTATGGTTAAGTGCAGGTTATGTTCTGGTTATATTTATGTAATGTACTGATTATGTTCAGGTTTTTTTCTGGTTATGCTTTGATTATGTTCAGGTTATGTTCAACTAAAATTCATGTTATGTTCTGGTTATGTTCAGGTCATATTTAGGTTATGTTCTAGTTATGTTCTGGCTATATTCAGGTTATGTTCTGGTTATATTTATGTAATGTACTATTATATATTAGGTTATGTTCTGATTATGTTTAGGTTATGTTCAACTAAAATTCAGTTGATATTTAGGTAGTGTTCTAGTTATGTTCTGGTTATGTGTAGGTTGTGTTTTGGTTATATTTATGAAAAATACTGATTAGGTTCAGGTTATGTTCTGGTTATGTTCAGGATATATTTGTGTAATTTTTAGGTTATGTTCTGGTATTGTTCAGGATATATTTGTGTAATTTTTAGGTTATGTTCTGGTTATGTTCAGGATATATATGTGTAAATTTTTGGTTATGTTCTGGTATTGTTCAGGATATATTTGTGTAATTTTTAGGTTATGTTCTGGTTATGTTCAGGATATATATGTGTAAATTTTTGGTTATGTTCTGGTAAAGTCTGGTTTATGTTCCGGTTATGCTCTGCATTCCACCAATCAGCTTAGAGCAAAGTGACAATAAAGCCTGATTTCTGAAATTATGAATAACAATAAATCTTGATGTGCAGCTGGAGCTGAAGGAGGCGCGTGAGGTGATGGTGGAAGCAAACACTCAGGAATATGCCTTCAACTTCCTGCAGCAGACGCTCAAGAACAAGATACAAGACACTGAGGTGCGTATGAGCTAAATTGGCTGTAGTGTATGAGAGTGTATGTGAATGAATGTGTATGGGTGTTTCCCAGGACTGGGTTGCAGCTGGAAGGGCATCCGCTGCATAAAACATACTGTAATAGTTGGCGGTTCATTCCACTGTGGCGATAAATAAAGGGACTAAGCCAAAGAAAAATGAATGAATGAATGAATGAACAAAGTGTTGTTTGTGTGTGTTGTGTTCAGGAAGCTCTGGAGAAACAGAGTCAGCACGCTCAGACTATGTCAGAAAAACTGTGGCACGCGGAGAGAAATCTGGAGGAGCTGGAGCTGGAGAAGGAAAACAAGAGCAAGAAGGTTCTAGAACTCGGAAACACTGTGTTCAGACTGGAGACTGAGGTACACACACATACGCAATCATATCTAACACACACACTCATATTAACAAATTAAATCAAAAGCACACACACACACATCCAGTGCTTAGTGTAATTGAGAACACCCCATTTTGAAAGTTTAAATTTTTATCCATTTCTCAGTGAATATAGGTCATACACTCACTGGCCACTTCATTAGGTACACCCGACCAAATGCTTGTTAATGCTAATTCCTAATCAGTCAATCATATGGCAGCAAGTCAGTGCATTTAAGCATGTAGACATGGTCAAGATGATCAGCTGCGTTTTAATATGAGCATCAGAATGGCGAAGAAAAGAAGTACCAGTAAGGTGTACCTAATAAATTGGCCAGTGAGTGTATGTTTTGGGGCAAATACAAATTTATGTATTAAAATAATATTTTAGTCTTCTAAGGTTTTCAAAATCCATGCATAACATTGGAAAAAAATCAGCTAAATTTTAAACATTTTATTTTTTCCTCTAAAATTTTTCACTTTTAAATTTTTTTATTTAATGTTTTTCCCTAACATAAATTTGGGTGGTCTAATTTTACACTGTTATTGTAAGTTGTTTAATTAGATAAGCTCCAAATTTGGCTTCAGTACTGACTAATCTAATGTACAGGATATGCACCAATATAATATTGTATAGCTTCCTATTAAAAATGAACTTAAAAGATAGATTTGTTA